GAGCGGGCCAGTATCTGGGGTTATGCTGAGGAGTCTGCTGAAATTCAGGTTACACTCAAGGGGAAAATTTATAAAGCTATAACAACTCATAGTAAGACATAGTACTTTGTTATACTAGTACGGTAACAGTCAGATCACTTGTTATAGTCTATCTGATGATAATGATGATGTTGATGATGGTGATAATGATTATGGAAGATGATGATGCGGATGATAATATGGATGTGGATATGGCAAGACTTCTTATACCTTGTTTAGCGAACCATCCGACCACCCAAAAATTTTATTTTCCGCCAGTTACAGTAGTGCAACCTCCACCACGAAAAACTAAAAATTTCATTTAAAAAAAATTTATATTTATTTTTATTACACCCTTTGCTCTTCTGATATCTTCAAAGATAAGATAAACTGTATATTTCTTCCTTAAAGATGTATTTTCCCTTGCTAATGTCAAAAAATCATAAAAAATAATTAAAATTATTAACTTGTGCATAAAAATTATTGAATTTAAAAAATGTGTACCCTTATTTTTAAACCAAAAAATTATAATAAAAATAATAAAACACTTCCAGTGACTGGAAGTGTTTCTATCATTTTTCGCTGTAAACTGATGAGTAGACATTTTTTAAATACACTAATTTCTATGTTCAAGTTGATAACTTTTATGTTACTTCAAAATGGGCAAGTAAATTTCAAAAAATATTTTTATGATTATTTTGGTATTTAGCATGGGACAGTACATCTTTAATAATACAATTAATAAAACATTTTTTTGTTCTCTAGGATGGAAGGTGAAGGATCGTTCACTGATACTGACAAGCAAGTGTGGGTTGGAACGTTTCGATATCGAGCAGCTCCAGGTCTTGAGTTCAAGTTATCGGTTTAGCTGTAATACATTATATGTTTAGTGGTTAGACCATGGAGGTACCTCCATGGTTAGGCCTATATCCACAACCATTTTTTTTTGTGGAAAATCTGTCCATATTTATAAAGTGTATATTTTTATGTATAAAATGAATTTAAGTCAAAATAGTTTGTGATATCGTTTGTATGTGTTGATTTGAAAAAAATATGATCAAGAATAAACAAGTAATGTTTGACACATTTTTTTTACCATTCACAATCATTACTTAACAATAATCATCACCATATTCACGGCTACCATATCATTAGAGTACTAAAATATAGTGGAGCTGCAGCTTAGTGCTTAAGATGTCCACCCCTAAAAATCCATTTAGCACTCATGGCCACTCGTATTGTAATGGGACAATAAAGCCTTGGTAAAACAAAAAAATTCTCATTGTATGAAAGCTGAAAATTTATTTAGTGTACCTGTTTAGCAGAAAAAGTAGACTTCACTTCAGTACAAAATTGTTATATGTATAAATAAGTAGAAGACATAGAGCAAAATTAAGCCACTTTCAAAAAAGTATATACAATAGTAATGATGATAATAATAATAATAATAATTGGCATAATAATAATAATAATAATAATAATAATAATAATAGGCATAATAATAATAATAATAATAATAATAATAGGCATAATAATAATAATAATAATAATAATAATAATAATAGGCATAATAATAATAATAATAATAGTCTCCTCAAGGTCCTAGAAGTTTAAGGAGACTTCTTGTCACCAAGCTTCAGGAATAATGTAATTTCATTAGATATGGGCCTAATAATAATAGTAATAATAATAGGCATAATAACAATAATAATGATAATAACAATAATAATAACAATAATAATAATGATAATAATAATAAAGTCTCAAGGTCCTAGAAGTTTGAGGAGACTTCTTGTCACGAAGCTTCAGGAATAATTTAATTCCATTGGATATTCATCCAATGTGCGATAACAAACATAAGAGTAGTAGTAGTAGTAAAGGTGCAATTAACTATTCGTTTATTTAGCGTATTTATTTTAATTATTCATTCATTTTTTTAGTCATTTTTTCCATACAGCATTCTAGGCATGGCATTTTTTAGTTACTAATCGTATTGCACCAGTGCGATTCAAGTTAAGTAAAGTGTTGTATTCTTTCGGTATATCGTGCCTGTTCTCGAACGTTTCATTGCCATAGTAGTGGAACGGTAGCCTTCGACCAGACTCGGTCTGGTTATAAGGATAAAAACCGTACAAAGAGATATTTCTGCATATCGTGGCTGCAACGCCATATATATATAAACCCGATGATGGTGAGTTAACCTTCCAGTATCTATAGGGAAAAACAATATAAATATACATATAAAATAGTTTATTATATTTATTTCGGCGTTAATACGTAAAATAATATTTAAAAAAAATATGAATTGAACTCGGGACCCTGGGGACAAAAGCAGTGGCAACATCAGGTTAAAGAGGTCGGAGCAGAGATCAACCCCCTTCCCCCTCCCTGTCGGATATGCCCTAATACCCTATTATGTGGTTCACCGCGTGAAGAATCTTGAGAAGGACTGGTAGTTGAGAAATATCACAGTTTTTCGAAAATCAAGACCAATCTCTTCCGAATTATCCTCGTGGTGCAGGTCTACCACAGTTATTCTATTCCTATATACCTCAATGTGTTGCTACTTCCTCTCATCATTCTAGATGTATGATAAGTGAACCAATTTATATTCAATGCTCAGTCAGGATATAGTAACGATGATGATGGTGATGTTGATGGTGGTGGGTGACGGCGATAATAATAATAATAATAATAATAGGCTTATAATTATAATAATAATTATTATTTTTTTTAGAATAAAAATTGCTGCCCATGTACATGCATCTGAAAATCAGGGTCGGTCTGTGGGATCGATCACTAACATCAATCATTCTAGTTGGTAAAAAATGAATTAAAAATTTAAAGAAAAATTGAAAAATAAACAAAACTGTTGGCTGTAATAGTTTATAAATGAAAGCCTCCAGACTGGCCGTTTCAAAACTCAAAAACATGATAAAAATTTCGGCAAAATAAACCACCTTTGATTTTCAAGAGTGCGTGTCGGTTGTACTTGAGCAGCACGATAATAATTCAAAATTGTGTATACTAACTTGCTCAATTGTTTATTTATGCGTTTTCTTGGATTTGGATATGCAAAAACAAAATTTTTGCGATATTTCTCAAAGACTGCGACAAATTTCTTGTAACCCGTACTCCAGTCAGGAATCTTTGTCAACCAAATAATGGAGTCATTTAAGTACGTATCTGCATATTTTAAGTAGTCATTACGACATGTGCTGTTATCTAAACATAGAGCGATTTGTTTAGAAGCTAATACATTGGAGCTCATAATGTTTGTTTTCTTTCCAACATCCTGAACAAAACCATCAATAGGCGACATATTTGATCTGAACACCAAATCATGGGAATCTATCTCGTCTCCACATTTACTTCCTTTCAATATTCCACCGCTTCCTAGAACAGCGCACGTTTCAGCTTCTGGTAACCATGGCAATCCATTAGGTCGTTTCCGGTACTTCGATTTTTCTGGGAATGCTACGGTTTTTTTTCCTGCCTGATGTAAATAAATTTGTATACTCTCAGATGGTGAATATCCGCCACTTATCAGCATTTTTCTAAAATATAAAATATTGAAATTAAGATTTCCGAAAAGACATTATGATGTAATAGAAGAAAATCGTTTACTAGCCAATGGAATGATTATTATTGAGTGAATTTGTCTGTTGATGTTTGTTAAATAACTATTTTATTTAATTTCATTAACACAATCATTGCTATTATTTGTACTGGTTACCTACTTGCACTTGTAAATATAAATTTCTTGTTTCTTTGCCTCAAATGTATTTAATAAAAGCTTTGTCCACACTATCAAATTTAAAAAAAATTATTGTATGTCTACTGGCTTGCATTTGGAAAACACAATTCAAGATAATTTTCTTTACATTTTCCCCCTCCAAGTGAATTGGAATTGGATTTATTCGGTGTAAACACCAAGGATAGCCCACGAAAGTCTAGAAGAAGACTTATTTCCAGTGGGGGTCCTTCTGGTGGTGATTGGGCAGTACACCGGGCGACAATCCCCTACTCTTTTCCGAAGAGTATACTGCGTTCTTTAACGTGGGCATGGGCCATCAATGCACACGGGACCAACGGCTTAAACGTCTCATCCGAAAGACGGTGCACTATTATAACATGTATTTCAGCCCTCCGGATCCTGCTAACCGTTAGCTGCTGTGCGTTTATACGAGAAAATCCCGATCCGGATACCAAAAATATGATGATCGAATCACTGGCCAATAAGAAACTGGAAATTGTAAGTCTGGTTCTCACAAGAGCCCTAGTATCCGGATCGGGAGCTAACTGTTAGCGCTAGCCGTTAGCACCTCTGCGTGAGAACGCCCGATCGGTTAGCGCTAACAGTTAGCATCATCCGGATACCGCTAACGGTTAGCAAGCGTTATAGGTTATCAAGTTGAGCGCGTTTTTATCATCAACCAATCACACGTACGCGTTTACAATTTCCAGTTTCTCGTGAGAACCAGGCTAATATGAATTAAGATGATTAATAACAAAATAGAACATTGCTAAAACTACACTGACTTCAATTTTAAAATATTATTTAAAGAAGAAAATCAGTCGCTTGAGTGTTTTATTTATACACACTCAATCTTCTGGGTTCTCTGGTCATATACCCAGAACCCACCTTCATATATGTATGTATATTCATTTATTTATTCAGAAATTACACCTTTATATCATTTGCAGAAAAAAAAAATTGCTGAAAGCTAAGGGTCTTGAAACCGTTTGAATTCATTCATTAGTGTTCTTTATTTAACCTTTGTACCAAAACAAGAATTCCTGAAAGCCAAGGGTCTTGAAATCGTGCGAGTTATTCAAGCTTTGTACCACGGTACGATGCGCACTTCACAATGCGCATTGAAATGCCCTTTTTTCAAAATTATTATCGTTGTTTGAATAAGTACGGGTGATTATACTCTATGAATACATTTTCGATTTATTTCAATGGAATTAGTTCATTGATTGTTCTACTTTGATTTTTGCATGTAGGGAACAAAGATGCCAGTATATCACAGAATTCACAAAATTGGGAAATCTGAACAAATTATTTAAACTTCTGCTGAGACCGCTATCTATAATGATAGCGTTTAATTTGTTGCAAGCCTACAGTATTCCCTATTTTTATTTTCATGAAATATTTACTGAAAGCTGAAAATTTAATATTAATCTCCACTCAGACCGTGTAAAACACAACAAGTATGGCATGAACAACGTATTCGTGAATACTAGCCTACTACTACTACTACTGCTGCTGCTGCTGCTACCCATGGATTTAAACAGTAGTAGTGCCAGGCGTTTGTAGCGGAAACGTTTCTTGATTGTATATTTTTCTTCAAATGAACTTTTAAAACATTTAATCTACGTCCTACAATTCAAGCACGAGTCCTACCTCATTTCGGAACTTTCTGTCAAATTACTTTTCATTAGAAGAAATTGTAAACTCTTGTCTTCATAAATATTACTTCTGTTCGGATTTCTGGAAATGTAATTTTAAAAAATTGAATACATTGTACAGATAGAATACGATTATATCATATGTATCACTCCAACCTTTCGTTCATACAAAAGTAAGTCCACAGCAATTTGTCAGTCATTATATTAATCAGCGAATCAGCCAATCAATCGATCGATCAGTCAGTCAGTCGATCAAACAATCAGTCAATAGATTAATCAATTGCAATGGTCAATAATTGAATCATTCAATATATCAATTATGCATTTTCTGGATTCATTTTTTTCATATGCCTATATATGTATTATCATAATTATTATTACTATTATATTTATATATATATATATATATATATGAATATTATCATAATTATAATTACTATTATTATTATTATTATATATCAATATAAATATCATATATATATATTGATATAATACCGTAATAATTATGATAATAATAATAATAATAATAATAATAATAATAATAATAATAATAATAATAATAATAAATGCTATTCATATTGACTCACCTGGTACTCTTATTCGGAAGTTGTCCATGTTGACTAGAGAAATTAGACTCATAGTACGGTATGTAACTGTTCTTCATAATACCTGACTCATAAAAGCACATACCTATACTCAAAGTTGCTAGAATTATAAATATCCATTTCAATCTCCTTTCAGGAAAACGGATTATTTTCTGTTTATAGAAATGAAAGTTACATAATAGTGTTTTAACATGATCAGCAAAATGTTACGCTATTTCACTTAAATTTTCTTTCTTTCTTTCAAGACATTTATTAACTTCCATAGAACACAAAACAATGCAATACAATAATAAAGATTTTTTTTTTTGTTTAAACGTAAACTATAGAAGAAGGCATGATCCCGAGAAGACAAAGATCTTGTGATGGGCATGCCTGAAAAAATAAAAAATAAAAGTCTCAGACAAAAATAAGAAGAGCAAAAAAAAAAAAAAAAAAAAAAAAAAAAAAAAAAAAAAAAAAAAAAAAAAGGAGACAAAAAATAAATAAATAAATAAATAAATAAATGAATAAACAAACAAACAACTGAAGTTCATGCGAAAGCAGAACATATCATATAGATTGCAGATCACCCTCCAATTAAAGACTCCTCCATTATTTAAAGACCACCTTCAATTAAACCAATATTTTATCATTCTAATTTAATATGTTGTTTTTATTACCGACATCAAAGAGGTTATGTATTCAGTGGCGTATCTAGAAGTCTTGAAATGGGGGTGCTGATGGGGGGCGCGAAGGTGAAGTATGGGTAGGGTCCTCGATGACGAGTTGAGGGGCACTAATTTGTTAAATAAGGTGATTTTAGGTGAATTTTACCCATTTTTTGTGGGCGACTGGAGAGGCGGGGGGAGGTATTATGTATTTACCCCTGTCTGTCTGGCTGTTAGCAAGATTACTCAAAAACTAAGGAATGGATCATAATTATCTAAAAAAAATAGATGATTAACTTTTGAGAAGGGTCAAAGCAAAGGTCAAGGAAATAGTTAAATATGCATTGACCTATACCAATATAACATTACATTTATAAATTATTATTAACAACATAGAGTAATTCGAGCATAGCACCAATACAATTTCACATCATTATCTATTCTTTTTGAATGTTCAAGCTAGGGGGAATTTTATAAAGAATAGTACTCCCTTGGTGCAAGTATCATGTGCCACTTCTTTTGCATGTCCTATGTTCACCATTCAAACAACTGTCACAATGAACAACCAAACAGTGACACACTCCTAATATACCATTTATACCTCAGTGACTCCTCGTCATTAGTGCACTTCTTATAGAAAGTATACCTCGACAACAAAATTTATATATAAGTATAGGTGTATATAAGTACATAAAGTAAATGTACGTAAGTATATAAGTAAGTATTATAAGTACGTAGGTATGAAATTATATATAGGTACAACGTTAGTAATAATAGGCCTAAATAAGTAAGTTATAATGTATACCTCGATAACCAGCCTACTGCACGAATTTTTGTCGATTTCTCGTCCACCTCCAAGTACCGACATGATATTATATATCCAAAACTCCTAGATACATGAATTAACCCATTTATCGTTCACTGAAATACTTTCTCGGTAACAAGTTCCAACAAGCGAAAGTTGAAGATATTCTACACATTAGCACGCACAATTGAGAACCCTGTAAAATCAGTTTCCAATTTCTCCAAACGTAGCCTACTTCTCCAGTCGTAAGTCTAATGTTAAACATCAGTATAAAAATGTTTAAGGTGTAATATTTTCCCATACTTGGCTAATTATCTCTACAGTTATAAGTCTTTGGTGTTGCTACCATATATCTGTAACCAAGTGTGTGATGGGTCATTCATGGAGGTTCCAGGAAACAATGAAATTTCACTGTTCCCTGTTACCTCAATGGTCAAACCATAGAGAAAATAGAACAGTCCAGTCCGAAATGTAGCAATATCAAAGGTTGCATTTTTTTTGCTATATTTTAAAAAAATTGGATATGATGTAGAGTAGACATTGATAAATCAAAAAAGTATGTGCAACATTTTTTTTTTCATACGTAAGGGGGGTTGCCAGCAGTTTCAAAATGGCCGTCACTAATATTGTAAGTTTATGTTATTAAAATGCAGCATTCAATTGGAAATTCACTCATAACAATGACAGCAACAGTTAACTAAATATTGTACACATTTTTGAGCTATTACAATTTAAAATGGCTGCCATTGTCCATTATTTTAGCTTTTTAGCATACATATTAATATAATAATAACCGATCT